GCTGGCTGCTAGCCAAATGGGGCCAGGGTGTTTCACCATTTAGCATGATCTCTAATCCCCTTGTGTTCATGTGGTGCATCACCTCCCCCCTCTATTCTCCTGTAATCTGCTATTCCCAGCACAGTGTGCAGCCTATCCATTGAGTAAAATCTAGTCTTCTTTCAGAGAAGAGAAGGCTATTTGTCTAGGGGGCAAAAACTTTTAAAGACTTTCCATTAATCCTCCTGTTTTAACCCCATCTCATTCTCGCTGCCTTTAGAAATCCTCTGTTCCTTCATGCCTGACACTTTCTGAGATTTTGCAGCTGGTTTACTTTTTATTGTATTCCTCCCCTGTCGGGTTACGTTTCGGTTCTCTGTGTTGCTATGTTATATGCCATCTGTTGGGTCACTTCCAGCTTCCGAGAGGTGGTTCACCTCTTTTACCTGCTGTACACTTTTCTCCTGTTCCCTTTATCTTTGTGGCTTCTTCTTCTTCTTCTTTTTTTTTTAATTTCTTTACTATCCGTGGTGTTTTAGGAGAGAGCACATACAAACATGTGTTTTCAACCTGCTGTATTAAATCAGAAGTTGCATGTACCAGAATGTATCCAACTGATTCCCTGCTAATGTAAACTTATTCCATTGTGTTTGCAGTTATAAATAATGCTGATGTGCCCTTATACAAACATATCTGAACACATGGGGGAATATTCCTCTATGACATTACAAAATGTAGAAGCATTGGGAGTGAAGTTAAGCTTGTTTAAAGTTTTGACAGATCCTACCTAATATGACTCAAAAAATGGAATCAACTAATATTCCTATCAACAGTGTGAGGCAGAACACATGTTTTTATTCATGAACTAGCTATACGTCCTCCTTGATCCTTGAGTGACAGATTTCTCTGTTGGATTGAAAACATTCTGTGTAATAATTTTGGCAGATTTTCATATTAGAGAACTGAAAAATTCAGTACTAAACATTACTGTATTATAGTTCTTCAAGAAGAAAAAAATGATACCATGTGGGTGATTAAATTACCAACAGGAATGGAGCCAGTATCATTACTTCGGTTTTCTTTATTTCTGTTCTATTCTTGTGGCTCATAGTACTTCAGTTTCATAGGCTTCCAGAACTTTCAGCATAAAAGGAACTGGTGATTGATTTGGTAGTAGTCTGCTTTCACAGAATTGCTTTAGTGAGCATCCTTCATCTGTCTGCTTTGTGTTACAAATTCATTCTCCTGGTCCTTCTCCTTCTGACATGGCTGCTGGCCTACCTGATTATGGGAGTGTTTGTGCAAAAAGAGATAAAAATGCACTTAGGCCTGCAGAACACTGGTCGTATAAGTATGTGGGATGGAGAACCAGCTGAGGATTGGGAAGGGCCACAGATGGAGTGTGACCACTTTGGGTTTGCATCAGCCACAGATTACAGCATGATCTTAGGAAATTAGGTAGGCTCTGAACCATATTTATTAAGACAAGAATAACAATGTTACAAAAACTAGTTAGGACTTTTGGGTACAGTGAAAGATATCAAATTCAACATGACTAAAATCAAAACACAAATTCATTTATTTACTTAAACAGAGAACCCCAGGAATAGAATTTATACATTGCCAAATTCAGATGTTTCCACAATTTCAGAAATATGTATTTCTCTACCTCTCGCTCCTTCTCTTTCCGGGGTTGGCTTCATTTTTAGGTGGCTCCATTTTTATCTCAAAGTGGAGATAAAAATGGCTACCAGGGGTGCCTGGGCAGCTCGGTCTTTTGGGCATCTGACTCAGTTTCAGCTCGGGTCATGATCTCATGGTTTTGTGGGTTCTAGTCGCTCATCAGGTTCTGTGCTGACAGTGCAGAGCCTGCTTGAGATTCTCTCTGCTCCTCCCCAGCTTGTGCTCTCTCTGTCTCTTAAAACAAATAAATGAACTTAAACAAAACAAAATAAAACAAAAAATGGCTACCAGCAGCTCTCTATATCCATTCTGGGACTTGGGAAGCCCATGCAAAGAAAGCACTCTTTCCCAGCTGTTTCAGCAAATGTGCCACAGCTGACTCCTAACTGCTCTAGCTTGGCTCCTAAGCGTCTGGATCAATCAGTGCCTCCAACCGGCCAGGCCTCTCCAGGAGCACGTAGGTTCCCAAGGCACGTGAACTAAGAATGGGTAAGACGCCCAAGGAGAGCTGCTACTGCTGCCTCTAGGGAAGGACACGATGCTGGGCAGAAGGAAGACAAGAGCTGACCATTACCCTTCCCCGTTTTTGTCACTGGATGGTCTGAGGCTTAAATACAGTAATATTTTGAATAGAAGCTCCATAGTGCTATATAACCTAGTAAGGCATTCTTTTTGTTCCATTTTATGGATACCCAACTCACATAAATTATTTGTAGTTAATTTTAACAAGTTCTTTTAGGCCTGGAGGGGTTGTCCTCAGGCTTGCTCCTAAACTACTCTTGTCCCAGGCCACAGGAGCTGAAGGTTAGCTTTAAGGGAACATTAATAGCCTTTAGTGGATAGTCCATGTGCATTTATCATCATCTTTATAGAGTCTTGTTTAAAATGCCTTGGTCAGGGGCCCATGGGTGGCTCTGTCTGTTAAGTATCCCACTTCAGCTCAGCTCGTGATCTCATGGTTTGTGAGTTTGAGCCACGCGTCGAGCTCTGTGCCACATAGCTGTGCGACAGCTTGGAGCCTGCTTCGGATTCTGTGTCTCCTTCTCTCTCTGCCTATTCCCTGCTTGAGCTCTGCCTCTCTTTCTCCCTCAAAAAACAAATAAACATTAAAAAAGTTTTTAATGCCTCCGTCATTGAAATAATGCTCGTGATAGATTATTCTATCTTGGTATAGAATGGTTATGGTCAGTTAAGACATGCACAGTTCTAAAACATTGAAACTGATCTTCTGCTTGTTTGTAAGTATGTCCTCCAGTGGAGGACATGGTTATCATGTTAATGCAAAGTGTGACAGCATCTTCCAAATATTCCCTCTTTCCCTTGGCAGCCTGTTTTGATAATATCTGTGAACTGATCTAAATTTCTTGAATCTACTTTAAAAAATTTTTTTTTTAATTTTTAAATTTATTTCTGAGAGAGAGAGAGAGAGAGAGAGAAAGAGCGAGCAAGTGAGCAGGGGAGGGTCAGAGAGAGAGGGAGACACAGAATCTGAAGCAGGCTCCAGGCTCTGAGCTAGCTGTCAGCACAAAGCCCGATATGGGGATCAAACCCACGAACCATGAGATCATGACCTGAGCTGAAGTCGGACACTTAACCAACTGAGCCACCCAGGCGCCCCCAAGCTTCTTGAATCTACTTATACTGAAATTAGTGTTGCTTCTGAAGATGAGCTCCAAGTTTTTTTGTTAGTCCTATCGATAGACCTTATTTTGTGTAGATGGTACTGTTGTGTGAGCACTACTTACAGAATGTAATAAAGCTGCAACTGTATTTTTCATCTCCTATTTTCCTTTAGAACTTGTTCCATGGGGAATAGCCCTCTGCCATCTCTCTAAATGAACACCGGGACAGGTCCCCTGGCTTTCTGTTCATTCTGGGGTAGCAGGTGGCCCCAAGGTCTCCTCAAGTCATGAACATGGTCTCAATTCAGACATTAGAATAGGTAACCCATGCAAATAATGAAAACATAGAATTTAATTTAATGTCAGTCCTCACCTCCTCCCCCAGGCAGGGCCTCCAAAATGTTGGCTGTTTGTAGTGGGAGAAGGAGGCATGATTCTTTCCCTTTGGCCAGCCTAATGTTTCTTCCTTACTAGCTTGCTATAATTTTTTAACTCCTCTGGGACCTGGCTCAAGTAGAAGAGAGGATTAGGAGAATAAGGTACAATATTATACTTGTCACCTCTATCTAGTGGGTGACATTTGCTGGTTTTTAGATATTGTTTTTTGTTTTTGGGTTGTTGTTGCTCAGCTCTTGGAACACAGCACCATGAGGCATGTAGTACTTCTCATCTGGCTGCCTGGAACCCCCTTGGCCCCTGTTTCTCCATCGATTATGGACCTTTGCTGTTAGAGAACCATCTTTCATCAAAAGGCCCTCCTGGACAGAAGTGTAATAGCTCTAGACAGCTCTTTCCTCAGTGGGATCTGTGCCTAACGCAGGGGAAACTCCATGGTACCCACTGAGTCACCTTGAGGGACAGGGGAGTTCTAGCTCCTTCATGTCAAGATCAAACCTGTGTTTCGGATTCCCTGGGCCTGGACTCAGATCTTCCTCCTCTGTGTTCTCAAATGCAGAGTCCCAAATAGGCCCCCCCCCCAGGTTTCACTGACACCTTACTTTTTCTAAACTTGAGGTGGGGCGGGGGTATCCCCTCATCTCTAACGAAATTGTCTTTAAAAATCCTATTTATTTATTTATATAAAGAGTCAGCAGGGGAAGGGCAGAGAGAGAGGGAGACAGAGAGTCCCAAGCATGCTCCACACTGTCAGCGCAGAGCCCAGTGCAGGGCTCGAACCCATAACCATGAATGAGAGCATGACCTGAGCCGAGATCAAAAATTGGACACTTAACTGACTGAGCCACCCAGATCCCCCCCCGCCCCCAAATCCTCTTTTTATTTCTGCTCTCGGCTCTTTTGTATTTTCAAAGCTGGATGAGGAGGCCAAGAGTTGTGGAATGAGATTTTTGTGTGGAAATTCCGAAGATAGGCATCTGGTCTGTCACAATAGAATTTCATATTTATTTTACCTGGGTGTTTCAGAGGAGACTTCAATGTTAACAGACTTATGGAATGATAAAAAAAAAAAAAAAAGAAAAAAATTGGTCTTTGTCCCTGGCTCCTGGCACCGCACTCCTAAAACTCTTGGAATTTCCTGAGTGATAGGGGAATGTCTTTTGTTATTCATAAGGAACCACTTCGTAGCACACTGGAGTCTGTGTTAAGGAGGTAACGTAGGGTGGGGCCCTGTGTAGCCTCAGGACGGAGCTGGTCACCAGTGTGACCACGTGATTCGGACTTTCAGCCATACACACTAATTTCCTGGGAGCAGCAAGAAGTGGGGCTGGAGACTGGGCTCTATAGTAACTCAAGTGGGAGTTTGTTTTTTGGTTCTTGTTTTTTGGTATGGGGGGGGGGGTTGGTGTTGCTGTTCAACCCTTCAAACACAGCACCTGTGAAGTATTCAGTACTTCTCATCCAGCTGTTTGTGATTCAGAGAGCTTCCAGGTTGGTGAGCACATCCACATGAATTCATCTGCCAGGAGGGTGGCCCACCTCACCTCCACAGACGGAAGCACAGACTCGGGACCCTTCTGGACCTTGTTTTATGTATGTACCTTTTCATCTGTTTCATCTGTATCCCGTATAATAAACCCGTATACGTAAGTAAAGTGTTTTCTTGAGCTCTGCAAATTATCAACTTGAGGAGGGGGGGCATGGGAAGCCGAATTTCTAGCTGGTCAGTCAGGAGTACAAGTGGCCCAGAACTTGAGATGGTGTCTGGAGCGGGGGCAGTCTTATAGACTAAGCCTTTAACTTGTAAATTCTGAGGCTAACTCTGGGTTGATAGTATCAGAATTGAATTTTGGACACGCCGTTGGTGTAGGATGGCTGGAGGATTTAAGGATCAGAGAATAGTGTATTACACAATAGCTACTGCAGTCTCTTCCAGGCTTCTGGAATTGCTGGCCGGTTCTGAGATTTGTTGCAAGTCCAGATGCATCATACCTACTCGTCATGTTTTTATAATCTTCAAGCCTATCCACCCTTGATCTATTTCTTTGAGTACTGAAGCCCTATGTTTTCATTCCTCTATGAAGACCCTTCATGTCTTCAGACACTATAGTCATCTATCTTGGACCGTTCTGAAATTGTTATAATTTTCTTGATTTTTCAAGTGGAGGGAACTGTAGCAGCATGGATGCTGATGTTTGATACAAGGGGAATTATATGTTTAAGTTTGTTCCTATTTCCCCTTGATGATGACGAGAAATTATATTGACTCTCTTGATCACAGAAGCCCTTGAACTGATACCTTTAGGGACTAGTCAGCAATAAATTTTATACCTTTTTCCCCCATCATTTCTGAAATAACAAATATTATTATTTGTTCACAGATTTAAATACATGTAATACACTATTGACTCAAAAGGAAATATATATCCAAATGATATTATCCTTGTAAAAGCAGCCACCTTAGGAATTTTTAAGGTCGATCTATTATTCACAATATTTTGGAGCCTCATGTTTTGAAACTACTTAAAACCTTTAGCATATTCTTTTGGCTATCCTCTGCAGTGGCTGTTCGCTCCAAGAAAGTGACTATGACTTTTGGCAACATCAGTGATATGTGTGTGATACTGATGATTCAGTTAAGCAGTACTGTTTCGGTCAAAAGAGTGTGTCTATAAAATGGTGGACCTGGTTCCCTTATTTAAATGAAAACAATACCAGAAATAATTGTAAGGCTTTTTTGACAATGATAATACCACTGATATCGATATACCCACATTTTGTAGAGATTACTGTTTAAAAGTAAAAAGTATAATCACTCTTTCTTTCCTCACGAAAGACTCCTTCCATGAGGCTGTAAGGTAGCTCATGCCGATAGGGGTGTGAACCATTCCCCCGTCGCTCTCCTGACATGTCAGTTCTCATTTTGACTCTTGTCACATCAAAGCTTCTATTTATCCTGATACTGTGCGGAATGATCTCAGTCAGACCTTGCTATGCCTGGCTGTCACTGGTATCTCAGTCCCCCATGAGCTGCTGCGTCCTAGGCCATTTCCTTCCTCCTTATTCTCCTTACTTCTTCTACAAGAGGGAAGTGGTCCATTGGGAATCCATACTGCTCAGAAAAGGAGCATCTATAGATTTGTAAGGGATCATTTGGTGGAGGACTGTCATCGTTACTGTTTTGTTGCTGCTGGTATCCCAGGCATATGTATTGCAATGGCCAAATTAATTAAAGCTAGATTATTTATAAAAATTTTTTAAGGTTATTTATTTGTTATGAGGGAGAGAGAGATAATATCAAGCAGGCTCTGTGTTGCCAGCGTGGAGCCCAACATGGGGCTCGAACCCACAAACCTTGAGATCATGACCTGAGCCGAAACCAAGAGTTAGATACTTAACCGACTGAGCCACCCAGGCGCCACAAGGCTAGGTTATTTTAAAACCTCACTGATTCTCCCACAAACTGTTTGAGGGTGAGGGGGTTTGGTTGCCAAGCTCTTATCAGCACTTCTATAGGCTTGGAATTAATTCAGAAAGGAAAGGGAAATTCTGCTACGCAAAATCACGGTACCAGGATGCCGCTGACAGTAAGGAGCAGATATCCAGATCCTCTTCCGAAAGACTGTCGCACATGTGACTCCCTGAGCACAGTGCCTCGCCTGTAGATCAGTGCTCACAAAATAGTAGCTTGTTGCTACTTTGATGATATTCATGTATAGAATTAAAATGTTGAGTTGTCTTTTGGACACACCATTCTGGGTATTTCCTTTAAATATCCAGTTAGTCAGTCAAATGTTATTTCCCTTTAGAGGAGCCTTGTCGCCTTGCCCAGGATGGCCATGCTTGTTGGGAGGAATCTGACCCTTTGTATAGATCCCACAGAAGCTGTGGCCTCCTTCCGAGCCAGCTGTGGAAGGCATTCATGGTGGCCGTCCAGCAGGTTTCTGAAGCACTGCCCCCGGCAGTGAAGAGGTCGGCATTTCATCCCATACTTGCAAATTTCATCCTTGAGTGTCTTCTGACCTGCAGGGGTCGATTTACTACTAGGAAGCAACAGGGATCTCTTCTGGAACACAGTGTATCTACTGTTTTCTGACCTAGGACCTTTGAACTGCCCACTGCAGAAGGAACGTGTCCTCAGAATTACATTATCCATATTGGAAGTGAAGTTGAGAAGAAGAGAAATAAGGGATCCAGGAGGCCTCTGTTTCTGTAGCCTTCGTTTCCTCTCCCCTCTCTGTTTTTAGATTTGTTTCTACCTATTACATGTCACAGTCACGTAATTTACAGATGTAAATTACAAATTACATTTGGCTCTGGTTTTTTAAAATTTTTCTTCCCCGGAAAGATTTAATGAACTTTTTTTTTTAATTTTTTTTTTTATGTTTTATTTATTTCTAGGAGAGAGAGAGAGAGACAGCGTGAGCAGGGGAGGGTCAGAGAGAGAGGGAGTCACAGACTCTGAAACAGGCTCCAGGCTCCGAGCTGGCAGTCAGCACAGAGCCCCACGCGGGGCTCGAACCCACGAACCGTGAGATCATGACCTAAGCGAAAGTCGGACGCTTAACCGACTAAGCCACCCAGGCGCCCCTAATGAACTTTTTTTTTAAATCCTAAATCTTCTTTGTCTGAGTTTGAGGGGATATCCATTTCTCAGTCTTTGTGGACTTTATCTTTGTTTCCTATAGATAAGTAAACCCTAGGAGGCTTTTCCATATAACCCCAGATGCTCGCCAGTGCCAGGCAGTGAGCTTGCTGCCCACCAACTCTGCAAGACACGCATCATCTCCCCCTTCCATCTTCTGGGGGCCGGACAGCTCACTAAGAACCATTTCAGCTAATTGCCACAAATGCTAGAGATTTCTGCCTCTGCTCTGGTTAATTTTACAAAATGACTCCAAGCTCTTGAATTTTCTGGGTCTTTTCTCTCTCTCTCTTTTTATCTTTTTCTCTTTGATTCTTTTATTCTAGGTTGTCTCTATTGCTCTCAGACTGTTAACAATGATCTCACATTTGGTGACAGATTTGTCTGTGATATCTTCCCCCTACCCCAACACTATGATTACTGCTTATCATTGGTGGGCTTGAAACCCATAACTTGTTCATGTAGGAGACATATTAAAAATACACTGGTCTTTGGAACATAGACTTCAGCCATTCATCAACCTTTTTTTTTTTTTTAAGTTTATTTTGAGAGAGAGAGTGAGAGAGAATGGGGGAGGGGCAAGGAGAGGAAGAGAGAGAACCTCAAGTGGGCTCTGCACTGATAGCGGGATGATAGCCCCAATGTGGGGCTCAATCCCGTGAACTGTGAGATCATGACCTGGGCCAAAATCAAGAGATGGATGCTTAACCGACTGAGCCACCCAGGTGCCCCCCATCAGCCTTTTTTGCTGTGTTCTTAATTGATTGTGTTTTTGAGAAATGAGAAGCCAAATAAATTGAATTTATATTATTTGACACTCTATTCCAAGTGAGGAATATCAGTTTAAGACATCAGCGATTAAGTACCCACAAAGCTGTACTTTTCGGTCTTATAGATGATTGTTTTGTAGAAATCAAAATGTTTATTTTCTTTGTTCAGATTATTCTCATTCCAAGATTCTGAAACTATCCAAGATAACTCAAACCTTATTTATTCTTACTCTGAAGATGTTAAGTAACTCCTTCCCTTGCCCCCAGTGAAGACAATTCTGTCATTGTCCACATTCTCTCAAAAATTAGGTCAAAGAAGAGAGATGAGATTCTTATGGGAGACTAGAATGTCCTGAGCAAGAACCTCAGATTCTCATTCCATTCTCATTCCATCCAGTACAGTTGTCCCTAAGCTGGACATTTTCATCCCCTGTTATTTACTCATCAAATATTGCATCACTGAGGCATCTGGGTGGTTGTCAGTTAACCGTCTGACCTCAGCTTGGGTCATGATCTGACAGTTTGTGGGTTCAAGCCCTGCATCAGGCTCTATGCCAGCACCTGCTTGGGATTCTCTCTCTCCCTTTCTCTGTCCCTCCCCCGCATGTACCCCTACGAGCGAGGGTGTGCCCTCTCTCCCTCCCTCCCTCCCTCTCTCTCAAGATAAATAAATTAACAACAACAAAAAAATTGCATCACTTTGTAAGAGGAAAACAAACTTGGAAATTATAGTGAAAGACCATGCTGGAATAGATTTATTTTACAAACACACACCACACACACCACATCCCACCACACATACATATATATGAAAAGAAAAACAATAAAAATTAAACTCTGTCAATTGAATTGTTTCCTTAGACAAGCTTAAAATATGATCAGAAAGCTCTTCTTTCCACAAATAGATTTCTTGTTTTCAGCCTCTTGAGAAGAAAAAAGTGAGGAGTAACCTTTAATTCACGTATGAGAGAGTGGCCCCAAAGCAAAGCCTTCTCAGGTATGACTGGAAGGATAAAAATCTTGACACATTTGAATAAAGACAGCAAACGTATGCATGGTAAACATAATAAATGGGAAATGTCATCTCTGTAAAATATATTTTTAAAAAAGCCTATATAAATGTTTGTAATGGAAAAAAACCAGCAAGTACACACTTAGTTACAACTGTGTAAAAATGG